TATGTAACGTGATCTTATCGATATTTCATCCACTTTAGCACAGCATCTATCCAGCATGTGTACACATTTGTTTTCTGGGGGAGGTGGTATTGATAGCAGCATGCTCTTCTCATTCTTTATTTATAACCAGCCATGTTTTCTCTCTTTCTTCTAGTCTCAGATTGTAAACATCCCACTTGATTAAAAATTAAAATGTGTTGTAAACCCTCTGATGCTCATGCAATGTCGGAAAAGCACCAATATAGGCCGTCTATTTCTTTACTTTCCAAGAAAGTAGTTGTTGGGGTTTTTTTAAAGTCAGAATTACTTTTACAGTTCCTTGGGATGGGTTGTTTTCTAAATTGCTTGTCAATCATCTTCATGTGTTTCACTCTGAGCTCAGCTTTGTTAATGTTTACTTAATAGCTATTTCTGTTCAAACGCTTCTGAGGATTGACTGTTAAAAAACGGCAGAATCATCATTGCTTGGCTGACATGCTTTCTGAGATTCACTTAGTGAATCAGCATGCTGTCAGTCACAACTACCACCTCTGCACTCCTTAGAAAGATGCAAGGTTGACAGGGTTTCTCTTTAGCTTGGAAGCCTGGCTCTCCTGCAGAGGCAAAGCCCACTTTCCAGTAGGAAAAACAACTATCCACTGTGGTAATTTAGGTCATCCGTCGCTCACTCTGAGAGGAAGCCTTGGCCACCGATTCATTTAGAGTTCAGCTGTCAGACACTATTCTTGCACATATATTACCTGACATATTGCAGTGCTGTGCACTCTGCACAGGTAATGAGAACTGGGGAAAAGAGACAGGCCTTGGGTGGAAAAACTGAGAGACTGGCCTAAAGGAAAGCTAAACCCATTCAGCTTTTTTTTTCTTTAGATATTGGAATTAAATACCTTCAAAAAAGGCTTTATGATTACATTTTCCATGAGTATTAGCAACTTATGCACAGTCAGTTTTGGTTCTTGGAGAATTAGCATGAAACCAATAGATGTTCCTGTAGGTTATTGGATTGGTTCCTGGGATTAAAACCTGCAGGTTGTATTTTCCTCCCAGATATTTGGCAAAGTTAAATCACTTTTAGTGGAAATGAACCACAAATTTCAAAGAATTATTTATTTTTCAAAATGGTTTAAACTTTTTATAACTTTGTTTACATCTATCGTGTAATTACACATCTTTTATTAATGATATTTTTTATCCATTCTGGTAGGACACCAGAAAGTATAGATGCTATGGTTTGATGGCTTTTTAAAACTCTGTAGATTTTTCAAATGGAACTGTCTAGAAACCAAATTGCTTTGTAAAATGATTTTCAGTGGAGTATTTAATCTGTCAAACATCCTGACAGGGCAGCCTCTGAGGGAAAAGCAGGAGTCAAAACATTTCATCTCCCCTTAGGTCAGAACTTTTTTATTTAACCTCGCCCTGACAGAGATTGTTCTAAGATGACTGTTTTAATGTTTAGCTGCAGAGAGATTTTACTGCTGTCTGATGCTTCCAAATGTATCGTTATTGGAGCTCTAGCAGAGGGATATTGTGGTCTGACAAGCACTAAAGCAAAGTTGCAAATTTGCAAAGGGGCTTTTTCTTAAGAGGAGGTTACTTTGATTAGCTGTTCTCCTGTGAGAGGGAGATTTATGAGCACTAAGCTTCTTTTGTGCCTGACTTGCTGCACGCATTTACAACACGGGCAAATACAGACAGATCATAAAAGTACTGTGTAACACTGGATTAATTTGAATGAAGGCATTTTTCAGGATAGTTTAGAAAAGCATAAAGATCATCTCTGCGATCTTAAATAAGGTTATAAAAACTGTATATAAACAGGAAATTGGTTTTATGCTTGTATAATAAATTCAAAATGCTCTACAGTATCTTAAATATTGTTCATTGTGTTTTGTGCGTGAATTGTAGGTCAGCTCCCGATAGAGATGACTTGGTTACCACGCCAACACGTTTTGCCCCCATCCCCTGTTGCTATGGTTACAGCTCTGATCCTGGTTGACCTTAGCTTTCTCCACCATAAACTCGACACTAACTGAGCAGGCACTTACAGTGACAATAATGAGCTTCTTTGTCCGTACAGTTTGACCCCTAACTTCAGTGCATTGAGGAGAATGGGCTTTGCATTGCTGTTGATAGTCTGTACAGTATTCACTGTGGCCTGGTTTTGTTTCAGTTGCTGGGGAAGCAATGGAACTGAATATCTTCTCTAGCTTTGTGCTGTTAGGACTGAAATAAACAACATTTATTGTAAAGTTTTGGGCACACATGATGAGGCCTCTTCTTCTCTTCTAGGTTTTAGGAATTAGATATTTCACCAAAATTTCCAAACACACCAACACATTTCCAAGTGTGAATAAAGCACTATAGGTACTTATGCCAATGCAATGTTAAAATAAGCTATTTCTTTAATTATGCATTATAGAAAGACAACTTTTGAAAAAATAAATAACTTTATTCAGCTCTTTCAAGCAGGTTTCTTTTTCTTTTCTGTATGTTTCCTCAGACTAATTATAGGGCAGGTATGGCCTGAACTACGGATGAATGAATGAAAGGAATTTATTTCAGACAATTAATAAATAATAAAAATAGTAATAGATAAATCAATTGAGAAAATACTTCAAACAACCAAATAACCATGTACCACACAAAAAAGTTAATTGATCTGAACATCCATGTGAAATGATAATTATGGGAACACAAGAAATTTTCTTCCTCTTTTTTATGATATTACAGTTGAATTCCTGAAATCTTATATAACTAAAACTTAAAGAATCAAAATCAAGACTCTTTGTTACTCTTTGCTGAAACTTTTGCTCAAAATGCACATTAACAGACATCATTTAAAGACACTTGTATAAAAATGGAAAACAAGCATTCTTAGAACAGACTTCGTAATGTAACAGCAAGAAAACATATGTTCTGTACATGGGATACAGGAAGAGGTATTTACATGAAGTGACGCTTGTGCTGAAAGAGTCTCTGAAACTGGCTGGAGGTTTATGAGAGTTTAAGCAGGGTTGTTTATTTTCTGCCTGCAGGGGGAGGATTCTAGTCTTTTTCTGAACTCTTGCAGCATAAACAGAGTCCACAATCCTCTGCACCTTCTCCACCACCCTTACCTGTCCGTGTCTTGTGCAGTGCAGCCCCCACATATTAGAGATTAATTCAATTCAATTCAGTTTATTTATATAGCGCCAAATTCACAACACATGTCATCTCAAGGCACTTTACAGTTCAACCAGATCAAGATTAATATATTTACTTTCTGTGAAAAGCAAATATTCAAAAAGCAAGTATTCTATAAAATGTTATTTTGAAATTGCCTTTACTCCATTTGTGAGCCAAGAAATGGTTTAATTAAAGCAGCTGGAAGTTACTAACATGACATTCTCAGCCTGTTGTTCAAGTAAAACATTTTCAAAGTTTACCTTTAGGATAGTTTCTATTTCACCTAAACATCATGTCTGTCTGGTTAGATCACATCTTGGTTTGCTTTAAATGTTTCTCCATGTCTTTGGATGTGTGAAGGAATATAGAATGTATGCAAATGCAATAATGCATTTCAATTATAGTGAGTAATTAAATAAATAATTACTTAAAAAATTAGTTATAATGTTTGTAATTTTTTTTCTATGTATTATTGAGCTAAACGTGCTGTTATGCCATATTCATAGATTTGGTAGGGGCAGACAACAACTTAAAAAGGTGGGAGGGGGGCGACGACCCACTTATAAAGGACAACCTATGGGTTTTGTCACCATTGGTTCAGCTGGTGACTCACTGCTTAGCTGCAGCTCTGGGAGGAACCGTACCTCCTCATCCATGTGTTGCTGCTTATCTTTGAATTATATTGTCTAAATTAAACCTATTTATCATTCATATACTAAAGAAAATTCTGCAACCACTTTTGGCATTTACTTAATCATATTTAGTTTAACTCAACTGTTTTATGTCCTACCCTGCTAACATGAAACAATTCTTTTAAAGTAACTAAATATGATTAAGGAAATGCAAAAAAAAACTGTTTCATTTTATTTTCATTGTATGAAATCTATAGAATTTTAATACTTTTTAAACAATTTTCTTGTTGGTCTGAATTAAATCTAGAAGAGGATTTTTGTCCCTTTGAAAATAAAACCCCAAAACATGTTAAAATTAATGAATTTATACATATTGCTAAATTTCATGTGCTTAAGACTAAATATATATCGCTGCTTATCTACAGAAAGAGATGCTCTCAATTCTGCTAAATTTTGTTCAAACTCGGAAGTAGTGAAGATTACAACACAAACAAAATAAGATGAGAAGCCACATAAGGGTAACTTAAAATATTTTAACACAAATAAGAAAAACAAGACGAGTTCAAAGAGCAAAGTCTTTGTACGTAGCGTGTATTTTTTTTTTCATACACAGAATTACTGAGTTTAAACATTTTCTTTAGGAATTCTCCAAGTGTGAATCTAAATCTTTAATGATTCCCTTCTTGTGAGCCAGCAGTAGCCTGAAGGAATGATGCCTCTCAGCCTTTAAGTGAAAAGTAATTCTAGGCTTCCTGAGGAGCTGGAGGAAGTTGTTAGAAAAATCATAATGAGGGTTTCTCTCAACTGCCTCCTCAACTCTTACCGAGATTAGCAACAGAAGAGACGAGTTCCCTCTGCAAACACAATATGTGGGCTTTTATTTCTGTTGTTGTTATTTTTAGTTTTCTCCTTCATGGCTTTCGTTGTGGTTGTCTCGAATTTTGGGAATTGCATTCTGGTTTGCAAGTTAGCTTCTGCGTGAATCAGTTGAGTAGGGGGACAAAGTTTTGCTCTTTTTGTCGAAATCAAATGCAGAGTGAGTCGTATCTATGTAAAGTACTTTAAAAAGTACTCTTGTTAAACAGCTTTTAATCAGTTTGAAACAAAGACGGTGCTGATTCCAACTCAGCATTACCAGCTTGCTGTTGGATTGACTCTGATCCTGACCTGCCGCCTCCTTTTTTCTTTGTGGTTCTGCAGGAGTTTGCTGCGCTGACCAAGGAGCTGAACGCCTGCAGGGAGCAGCTGCTGGAGAAGGAGGAGGAGATCTCTGAGCTCAAAGCTGAGAGGAACAACACCAGGGTAACTAAAGCTTCGATCTTCTGTCAAACCTATAGATTTACATTATTTATAAAACTACTTCACTTGGAATAGAGACAATAGATTCTTTTATTCCAACTTTTTGTCTGTACGGGTAAATCTCAGTAGGCCACAGGGTCCCATTTTAAAAGAGACACATTTTAAATATTAATGTGAATCACTGAACTAAATCTATGAAAAGCAGAAGAAATGAGCAACTGGAACATGAAAACGGGAACAGTAACTCAGTTGAGCTTTCTCTAAAAGTGTAATACAGCAGAAAGCTGTAGGCAGAGACTGCAGTTGCTCAATTTGTGTAACATATTAGAAACTAGACATAGTGGTAATTAACAGGTAACTGAGAAGGTGGTTATTTCCAAGTACATTGTGCTGCTGCTGCTCAGTCACTCCCTGTCAAGCGTAAACACAACAAAGTGGCAGATCATAAAAGAAGATGTGAAGAATTATTTTAGCTCCCCAAATAGCCGACACACAACCTGTGATATTTATGGGAGAACAGTGAGAAGTTATTAAACACCTCATGTTCTGCACAATGCAGAACATGATGATGATGAAGGGGACCGAAAAGAGCATCGTATTAGTGATGCAGCAGTTGGGGCAAGAGAGGTGTATCTGGGGGAGTTTGTCGGCGCTTCAGGCAGAAACAATCCAGGTGCACAGAAAGCTTTAAATGGCACCGAGCACTGGAGCCGTTGGAGGTGTTCATATTACTAAAAGTGGTTATGAAAGAAGTAGCAAAAAAACAAATAGATGCATGAATTCAGCTTAAGGTAACGTGTATTACTGTGGTCATTAATCTTGATTGAAATAAATAATGAAAAAGTGAAAAAGTTATTTAAATTAAGTAAAGTAAACTACAAATTCTGTTAAATATTATAGATGTTTAAAGAATAATGGAATGTATGCATGGTTATTTAAAACCAGTCCAATTTGCTGTACCTGTTTAATTAATATTTAAACATGTTGGTGCTAACAATTTTGCACAATAGTTGTTTATTTTTGGTTATAGCAAATCCGTATTTCAAGGAACTTCAAGTATTTTGCACATTTAGAACAAACTAATCAGGTGTGTTTGTATAAAAAAAAGTATTGGTACCCGATCAGGATACCAGCCTGTATTTTACTCTTTACCAGATCGGAAAGGAAATTGGTGGTTTCATACATTACTAATTGGAGATCATGTAGGATTAGCGGTAGGCTAACTGGGGCTCTAGTTTACTAGCAGTAGGAAATGAAAATAGACTATCTATTAAAGCAAAGAGAGAAACAATGTGCTTTCAGCTCAGTTTCCTCTGAAACAACAATGTTGAAATATATATATAAAAAAAACCAAATCTGTATGTTTGACATTCCTCTATTGGTTTTGTCTTAAAAAAAGTAGTTGCAAAATACTCAGTTTGCAGACATAGTGGTTAATAATTGCACCTATACTGATACCAGTATCGGGCGGGGCCCCGATCCAGCACTAAAATGGTGGTATCGGCAAGTACCAACAAATAGAGCACTGATACCATTTTGAGAGCCAGAAGTTTATTCAACTATTGTCACCGGTTCCTGGTAAAAAGTTCTACTGGATTCAATTTGTATTAGCCTTTTTCCTGCTTCACAAAGGTAGGCAGCAGCTTGACAAAGCCATGATGGCAATTATATTACATCCAAGTAGTATACACACACACACACACACACACACACACACACACACACACACACACACACACACACACACACACACACACACACACACACACACACACACACACACACACACATCAATTTCAAACAGAAGGTATCAGTATGATATTGGTATCAGCTAGGGATGTAACGGTTTATGAAAACCGTGCATACCGTTCGGTTCGACTGTCTCGGTTCGATTCGCGTGTGTTTCGTTCGGTTCATGCGCCGCTCCTTTTTCTCATAGGCAAAGCGTTTACACTCCAGAGCAGAAGGTGGCGGTACTGCGACCAAAGCCAACCACCAGTAGTAAACAAGAAGAAGAAGCGAAGCAGTGTAGCCGGGTGTAGCAGAAAAAAATCAGTTGTTGTGGAGAATTGTGTGGGTATGGCGACTGGGAAAGAACAGGAGTTGGAAGTAGGGTGGCCAGATGTCTGGCTTTAGGGCCGAAAGTCCGGATTTTCATTGCACTGTCCGGCGTCCTGCGCCGCATTCAGCCGGACGTGTATTTGTCCTCCTTTACCCCCAGATTCCACATAGTCCGTCAGCGCTCCGCTCTGCTCAGTAACTAGAAATTAGAGCATAGTTCGTATATAATACAAAAACTAAGAGCAATTAATTAAATAATTGGATGCAGACTATTGGTGCTTCAACAGACCAGGAAGAAGTTGTGAGATTCTAGAGCACATCTCATAACTTTAAAAGAAAATTCTTATTGGAGGAATGAATGAAGAGATGATGAGTTTGTAAGTTCTTTAGACTGAACTGTCGCGCTTCTTGTTGCGTCACACCTCAACCCGCCTCAAAGCCAACGCTGATTGGACGTTCGTCTGGTAAACGGCTCTAAATTTTCTTCAACAGAGAGTCTCCAGACTGATTAGCGAGTGAAATCTTGAAAGTTCGCGAGATCAGGATGGTCTCATGAGGCTACAGCCAGGTATCGGGTATCGGTATCTGGGCCAAAAAATGGGATCGGCACAACACTATTAATAGTTCATTAACACTTCCAAACAATGTAAATAAATGGCTAATTGTATTGGCAGTGCAGAGCCCTGACAGACATTTTTATTTGAGACATCATTTGGTATTTCCCATCTACCTGATGTTTTTTTGTTTTCCTTCTTTTAAAATTGGGAAGACATGGAGCAAAGGTCTCCAGGGAGGGATTTTAACCTCGGACAGCTGTGTTTAAGATTAAGGCTCTTCATGTAATTCTCAACAGTAAAAGTAAGAGATGCTAATATGTTGAGAGCACTAGCTATAATATCTTTAGGGGAAATCTAACTAAAAAACATAAAAAGGGCAAAATATTGTGGAGGCAAAAATGAGCTCCTTCAGCTGAAAGAAAATTCTTCTTTTTAAAGCTTTAAGCACACGCTGGTGTTCCCAGATAAGGCCAGTTACTTCTCTGCACCGATTAAGTGTGGATTTAGTTTTCACATTTCTGTGCTGCTAAAGGCGGGCTATTTTAGCACAACTTACTGAGAAATCAAGAAAAGAGGTGCAAAGAAACAGAAAACGTCATTTTCACAGTCCCTTAATTATCGCTCCTTACTCTCCACAGAGCCATTTTGAAGCAAGCTTTAATTAAGCTCAGTTGTGTCACTGAAGGTGTTTTTACATTTCATAATTAAGTTTTCCAAAGCGTGTGGAGGCAGGCAATGGACCGAGGGGCTGTTCTGTTGTCTGTGGAGACGAGTAAACTTTATTGACTATTAGGGATAAGTGTCCCAACTGAACAACATGCACTTCCAGATGGTCTCAAGTGGGTCGGAAGACATGAAGGGTTTCCACTGATAAAGCAACTAGTTTAAATATTGACGGGATTGGACTCTGTTTTCAAATTCAATTGAAAATTCAGAAATACTTTATTACTCCCTAAGGGAAACTAAATGTTGTAGACGTTGTTGGCTGTAGGCAGGACGGATCTTCTGAAAAAGCCTTTGACTGAAGACTCTCTGCTGTCGTTTTAAAGAGGAAGCTCATCGTTTTCCATAATGTTCTTCATTTTCTGAAGAATTCATCTTTATTTCAAAAAGAAGCAGAGCGTAAACACCTTTTAATTCATTTAAGCTTTGTTTTTGTTCTGTTGACGTTGCACGAATACGGAGTAGATGAGTGCATGTTCTTAGAAATTTAGACTAGATAAAGAAGCAGCAGAGCGTTGCATTTTTTAGGCCTATTTCACAGAACTGTCTCTCTTGTAGGAATTCGTAAAACTTTCACCAAATGCACCCTGGGAAATAGTTTCTTTGATGTTTTTTTTTAAATAGTAAAGTATCATTGGTTGCACTTTTAAACTATACGCTACTGTATGTGTTAGAGCAGGAGTTTTTGCTTTAATGATTTATTAGAAAGTATGTTACTGTACTGCACTGTTGATGCAGTGTGCTGTACAATAGTCAGGATGCATCCCTGTGTGAATTCAAAACTGCAGCCCTCTGCAATAAATATTGGCTCTCTAAGCTCCAAAGCTGAATACAATGATAATATTCCTGGGCTTATTTGATGTTGAAATCTGTCCTCATCTACTCTTTGTCCAATTCTTTTTCTTTATTTTGTTGTTCACTGGGGGAAAGAAAAAACAAACACAAAAAGTCAAAATCTTCCCAGATACATGCCGGTTTTTGCAGGTAATTTTGACCCGGTTGTTCTGAATTGCTGTTGTAAAACGCAACGCATCAGTCAGATGTTTTCCCTGCCGACATGGAGTTGTGGTTTTCTTTAAGGCTTGATCCAGCTTATATTATATTCAACTAATTTTGAGTTTGTTTTTGTCTCCATTATAAGTCCACCTGGAAATAGAATCACTAGATTACCCACGTTTGCTCATGAAAAGCTCTTTAACCTTTACCTAATCTTTCTTTTGGTCAGATACTGTAGTGAATCAGGTCTTTGAATTTAATATCAGGGGACTCTGGTTTTAATCCCCGTTGCGTCAGAAAGGGGAAGGTGTAATGACTTGCTGCGGTGAGTCCTGAATAAAAGAGCAGCCGAAAGGACTCATCATCAGAGGTCAGGTTCACCCTGATCTTTTGGTCCAATCAGTTAAATTCAGCCAGTATTTCATTTTATATAATCTTATAGTTTCCCATTTCACAGCCTAAGATATATATATATATATATATATATATATATATATATATATATATATATATATATATATTTTTTTTTTTTTACATTTCTGAAGAACCTGCAGAAAAGAACCACTTAAAATATGAAACATGTACATTTGTAGTTTAATTATTGAACTTAATTGTTTCTTCAAAATGTCCTCATAGTCTTTGCAGCACCATGATGCTACAGTAGCTGTTTCACATCTCGTCAATCTGTGCACCCCCTTTTTTGGTTTCCTATACTTTACATTATGCATACATTTACCTATAGACTGCTACTCATGACTCTTTCATTACAAATAGCTATAGAGCAAAAACGTGTGTTATTTTGCAACAATTGTCTTCTTTATCAATTAGGTATTTATTAATTCAAACAGAGGAAACCTTTTTAAAAGGTCTGTTCAATTATTCATGTAAAGCTTCTCCCTCTTTTCAGACAATAATGTGTCTGTGCTGCTTTTTTTCCCCAGTTACTTCTGGAGCATCTGGAGTGTTTGGTATCCAGACATGAGCGATCACTTCGAATGACGGTGGTCAAGCGGCAAGCTCAGTCCCCCTCAGGGGTCTCCAGCGAGGTCGAAGTCCTCAAAGCACTCAAGTCCTTGTTTGAACACCATAAAGCACTCGACGAGAAGGTAAATCAGACTCTAGTGTTGAATTATTTTCATGTTAAGGGTTTTTAGAGATCATTGATTTAATATTCACATTTATAATTTAATTTTACTTCCTGATTATTATAGCTATTGCTGTTGATAACTTTGCTGTAAGACAATTTGTCCCGAGCTTCGCCTTTTTCCTCTTTGTTTTCCAGCCTCTGTCTATTTCCTTCATCCTCTAAAATCTCTCAGTCCTTAAGTCCTGATGTCAAGCGAAATACAACTTTCTAACCCAGTTTAAAAAATTTTAATCCAGGATTAGTTCCTGTGAAATTGCAAGAAAAAATTAAATGAGAGGAAGTTTTTTAATTTTTTTTTCCATCAGAAGCTATTTTAGAAGCAATCGGAGCCTCTTACTGCAACTTCAGAATAAGATCAAAGTATCTGTAAAACAATTGGTTGAAGAAAACTGACCCGTGCTGCTGCCTTTCCTTAGTGTAGTCATTTATAGACAAACGTTCTTATTTCCATTTTCCTTTTAGGTTAGAGAGAGACTACGGGTTTCATTGGAGAGGGTTTCTGCCTTGGAGGAGGAGCTCACAGCAGCCAATCAGGAGGTAATGTACAATAATCATATATCAACTAGACAGTTACCACAATATTTAATTATATGCAAATTTGTTGCACCTTCATTAATCTTTGTTTTTTGCTATTAATGCATTATTAATTCATGTTTTAAACTATTTGTGCGAGGAATATATTTATTTAGCTATTATTGTATTTCATTCAGTATTCATAGCAACTTTGTTCCATCATACAAGCCAGGATTTATATTTTGTTTATGACTTTTTGATGGATTTGTACATTTTCATAAATTATATATTATAGTGAGAAGAGACGAAATGATAAAGATAGAAAACAAACCTGGATGTGTGGATGAAAATTAAATACTCCATACATTTTAGCGTCACATCCTCAAATATTAATGTATTAGATTTGGATTTCAGAAGAACAAAAACAGAAAAAAAAAATGTATTGGTTAGTTAAAATTTTAAAAGTTAAAATCTTAAACGTATAACATGCAGTCCTGTTGAGCCCTTTTCAATGAAATATTGCCTTATAAAGTCCATTCCAGGCAGTTGTGGAAAAATTGTAAAATAATTTTATTGTCCATCAATATTTAATTAATTTTTTTTTTTTTTTGCGGGTATAAATCTGCCTGTTTCATGGAGGCCTGAGGTTCATTTTATGCACGCAGCATCTTGGAAACCAAGCTTTGCTAAAATCAGACGAGTATTGCAAAACTACAAACTGATTTAAAAGGTTGGAAAAAATTTCAAGAAGTTCCGGAATATGAATGCTCTAAAAAAGACAACAATTTAATATAAATAAAAAAAAAGTTTTAACTACTTTGATACAAAATGTTTCATTTTGTAGAAAAAAAAGTAAAAAAAAAAAACTAGTTTTACCAGATTTAAATATTTAAGAGGAGAAGCAATATTTTTGATTATAGAAGCAAATCTTTATCTGAATGCAAAATTTTCAAAATGCATAACATCTGTTCTGTACTGTAAAAGGACAGTTTAAGATTAAAAAGCGCTCCTGTCGTGGTGATAATGGTAAAAACATGTTTTTAAAGGGATTACTAAAACAGTGTTCAGATAGAAAGCTGCTGTTGACGCCAATTTCCAAATAAGCATGTTAAATAAAAAGAAAGACCTTTAAAAAGAGTTGTGCTGCCTTTTGTATTCTAACTCAAAAAAATGTGTTTTGCATCATCATTAGAACAGCGTATGCTTGACGTACGAAAAAGCTTGCAAAACACGTTGGCATACCTTAGATAAGTTATGGGTACGTTCTGTATCAGTTATTAGCACGTTGAAATATGCTGGATCACGCAGGCATACGTCGACATACTGCGATGTATGCCAGCATATGCCATTTGTGGGCCATAAGTTACTGATAAGCTATTTAATCGTTGACTTAGTTACTCATAAGTAGTGGTGTCTAGCTTAGCTCCAAAACTTATGAGTAACTTGGGGTTCACAGGAGGAAACTTTCAGTTCTACTCCAGACTTCATCCGCATCATAGGGTGAGCGAGAAGGACATGACCAACAAACTTCCTAGCAGCCATGACGCTGCGACTGCAAACCTTCTTTTTTTCTTTTTCTTATGGCAGGTGGTAAAGAGCAGCTAGGTGAAAATTTGTATTTCTCTTCTATTATATATTAATTTATCTTATTTACTCCCTATAAAAGTTTTCACTCAGTCTGTTTCACTTTCAAGGCCACATCATTCCCTGCAGGATGGTGTTTGTAGACCAGATATAGCTTCTTCCCATAACAAATCAGATTCTTGCTCAAGGTTTATTCATAAATGTTACTGTTAACCAAAGTATCTGTAATTTGTTTTGACTCTGACTACTTTCCATTGTTGTAAGTAAGGGGGAACGAAAGCTGCCCAGATCAGAACAGGGCAGAATGCTGTGCCATAAGGGCTGTATGATGATCTGTTCTATCTTTGCAAAGATATGAATAAATGTGCCGACTGAGTGAAATCCATCGATCTCCGTTTATTTAACTAGGATGAACAGTTGAATACTTTTTTCCCACTACACTAGGTTAATACCGCGATCATAAAGAAATCTTTTTATGGAGGCTGGGCACCTCCCAGCGCATTCCTGCCCCCCACAGGACTCTGGCTGATGCATAATTTCATGGGCATTATGCTCCTGTGTGTTATGCATAAGTTAGGCTGTTGTTGGACATTATTTCTGGACCCATTATGAATACTCTTATGTATATGCCCAAAATTGAATAAAATAGATTCGGGGACGCCAGGCATACAATGTCTAAATCGGCAAGGTGTGACAGGGCCCTAAAATGCTAAAATAGATTCAGCTCAAATGGCTTACATCTTCTCATTGGAACGATCCGTTGTTCCTCAGCTTCTTAATATCAGAAGCGTTCTATAATCATGCTTGGGTTTGGATTGTAAAATCAATTTTAGTTTTCTAAAAAAAAAAGTTAAAGCTCAGTATGCACTGAAATATTTGGGATTTAAAAAGGGGGATTGTTTTGAAATCACAGTTTTATGTTTATCCGATAAATAAAATTCCAACACAGAAGAAATCTGTAGGGACCGTGTTTTTTTCACTATATATCTCTTTATAAAGACTTCTGAACTAAGACTGTTAAAACCAAGCTCAGTGATGAACCTTCATTCCCCACACCTGCAGCCCTGCTTTCAGGCTGCAGATTGATTTAATCTTCCAAAACTGCCACAGTATGCAAGCCAGTATGCAGTAATGGGTAAAGAAAGAAGGCTCAGACTCTTTGTGACTGCCACATCCTCTGTGGAAACAAAAGGGAGAATTTAAATTGGAAAAGATCCTGAGAACGGCGATGCTTTGTTTAGAAATGCATGTTGAGTCCTGAGGTGTGTATTTGATCAAAGCTGAAAAAGTATGGAAACCAGAAATACAGATTGGAGAGAAGAGAATGGGCTACTTTGCAGAAAAAGCTTCAAATCATTTGACAAGTCTCTAGTTTCCATTTTTTTTTTTTTTTTTGACAACTGCTGGAAGAAAGCTGCTTTTAAACTGAGCCGTCGAGCAACTGACAGACATGTTAGTAGGAAAGGTAGCACTATTGGAAATTCTCACACCATTGAGCCAAGGCTAGAATGGCTGTGCATTACATCCATGAGGCTATCCCTTATATACGGTTAACAACATACACCAGCTGTGGTCAGATGAGTGATGGAACCTTGAGACGGCAGACAGACGCTTAACCGGCGTTACTGAATAGAAATGTCTCACTTCAGAGGCTCCAGGGAAACGTGAGCAAGCAAACTGGTAATTAATTTTAGATAGAGGTCTTGTATGAGTCCCTTTTCCCTGCAGGCATTTTCACAAAACTGCCGCCCCTGATGAAATCAGGACCCTTTGACCTTGCACAGTCACAGGTGCTTAAGTGGCCACACACTGATTATTACAAGGGATTTTAATTTGCTGGTATCGAAACATATTTTAGTGAATATGTTGGAATATATTCATGGATAAATTGTTGGAAAATAAGTTTAATAATAATTAAATGAATACTATATATTTTCAGAGGATGCCAGCATGCAATAGACAAACAGAGACAAAGTGATGGTCCTTTGGTTTCTCCATATCACGATGGACTGATTAATCAGAAACATTGTGCTCTGATGGAAAAACTTTCATTCATGAAAGATTTTACACTTTATTCTTCCCACTAAGCCAACAGGATCTCCTTTACACTGAACATAAATAAAATGAGCCTTAAAGGAGAGGTCTGGTCGGCAATGAATAATCAATGGATCATTATCTATACCTAAAACTAATAAGTTTGTGATGATTTAATGATTTGAAGTTAACCCTTAATCAGTAAAAAATTTCAAACAATATTTTGTTTCAAACATTCAAAGAATGTTTTCAAGATGACTTGGATAATAGCGCGTTATGACAAACACCAGATACAGCACTGGGACTTGATCAACAGCCGATACCGCACCGTGACGTCACAAACCAGTAGGTGGCAGTAGTGTTTTTTTGACAAACATGGATGCCTCCTGTAAAACTTGTTCAAATGAAATTACTCTTAATAAAAAACACTCAACATTTATTGAACAGTATGTAATAATTTCATATTTGAAGTATTTTCAAAAGTTTGAATTCTGAATATGACCGGACTTTTCCTTTAAAGCTTTGACTGCTGCAAAATCCTTTTTACGACTTTTTTAAGAAAAATGTTAAAGTATCCATTGCAAAGACCTGTAAAGGAATTTTTATTGTTCACTAATGGACAGACACTTAGCGATAGGGATTTGGATTCCCCTGCATTGCTCTAGAATACATTTTGTCTTGATGTAGTTTTGATGTCTTGATTTAAAAAAATAAATAAATAAATAAAAAAGCTGGAAAAAATGTTAATTCTCATCTTTAACCTTTAAGAAAATAGCATCCATAAACGCTGGATAAAAATGCTCCTTACTGACTAGTTGGTTTGTACGGAGCCCCTCTGATGACATGGTCAAAAAAAAATTTTAATTGTGGCCACGAAGTAGTATTTCGTGGCCACGCAATAAGTTTATCGTGCGCACGAAATACTACTTCGTGGCCACGCAATAAGTTTAATGTGCGCACAAAATACTTATTAATAATATTAATATCATTCCTGGACAACTGGGTAAGCAAATCGAGCGCGCCTTCTCTAAGGTCTAAGGCGCGCTCGATTTGCTTACCCAGTCGGTCTCCGCCAGTCACGTGACATTTGTTGCTAAGATGCTATTTTAGGTGGAAAAGGCGTAGTGTAAACAACCGCAGCATAGCTACACGAAGGACTAAAGGCCCGTTTACATAGCAGCCTGTCCAAGATAAGTAATTACAGTTAACATAAGCCTGAAAACAGGGGCGGATTTATTGATATTATTAATAAGTATTTTGTGCGCACATTAAACTTATTGCGTGGCCACGAAGTAGTATTTCGTGCGCACGTTAAAGTTATTGCGTGGCCACGAAGTAGTATTTCCTGCGCACGTTATACTTATTGCGTGGCCGCGAAATACTACTTCGTGCGCTATAAAATACTA